ACATCAGTACCTTGAACTAAAGCAGGATAGAGGTATGACCATCAGTAGGTGTAGAACAAAAATTGCTAGCAATTTCTGAAAACCAGCATTCCGGAATGAGGACTGGGAAAGACCAAGGGAAGCCTGTCACCTACCAGTGACTGTGCAGAATCTCGACCCAAAAGGTAATTTCTAACCCTGCTGGGACGCTCACTGCCTTATCTACAAATTTGGTTTTACATATTTGAACTGGAGCTACAAAGTGCAGTTTGCTGCATGGAACATCACAGGGAGGGGAGAACAACTCCTCCCAACACAGAAGAAATGCTTACTGTGCCTATACGATTTTTTCCATTTTACTTTTATTTCACTTTGCTTTTATTTATGGTGTGTGTGTGTGTGTGTGTGTGTGTGTGTGTGTGTGTGTGTGTGTGTGTGTGTGTGTGTTTCACAGAGAGTCTCTTGGTAGTCCCAGCTGTCCTGGATCTCCCTAATGTAGATGAGGTTGGACTTGGTCTCACAGAGATCCACCTGCCTCTGCCTCCAGAGTCATGTCTAATGACTGCTCAGCAACTGCTTTTATTTTTTAAAAAATATCTATTCTTAGCTGGGCGTGGTGGCACATGCCTTTAATCCCAGCACTCAGAAGGCAGAGGCAAGTAGATCTCTGAATTCAAGGCCAGCCTGGTCTGAGTTCCAGGCCAGCTAGGGCTTCAGGGGGACTCTGTCTCAAAAAGACCAAAAAAAGAAAAAAAATCTATTCTTGCATAAATATCTCTTACATAAATACTCACCTATCAAAAGCTTCAACTTGCTGAAATGCCAAAGTTATTGAAAAGGAGATATCTGGACCTGGAAACGCAGGTGAAGGGACTCACTATTCCTTCAAAGCAACCTCTGAGGAAAGTTTTTCTCCATGGTCCCAGCAGAGAAGCTGAGAAGGGTGTGGTCCAAGAGACCTGGGTACATCTTGAGTTCGGTATCAAAGGTACTACCTAAGTGAGTCACGGAGGGATGCTAAGTGGATTTTATCAGTTACTTTTTCTCCTTACAGTGTCAAAATATCTCATGAAAATAACAAAGATTTACTTGACTAGTCTGAGGGTATGGTCCGCCATTGCAAGAAAACAAGGCAGCAGTTGCATAAGACTGCTGGTCACACTGTATGAACAGTCAGAGAGCAGGTCACACCGTATGAACAGTCAGAGAGCTGGTCACACCGTATGAACAGTCAGATAGCCGGTCACACTGTATGAACAGTCAGATAGCCGGTCACACTGTATGAACAGTCAGAGAGCTGGTCACACTGTATGAACAGTCAGGGAGCTGGTCACACTGTATGAACAGCTCACACTGTATGAACAGTCAGAGAGCGGGTCACACTGTATGAACAGTTAGAGAGCCGGTCACACTGTATGAACAGTCAGGGAGCGGGTCACACTGTATGAACAGTCAGGGAGCGGGTCACACTGTATGAACAGCCAGGGAGCGGGTCACACTGTATGAACAGTCAGGGAGCGGGTCACACTGTATGAACAGTCAGAGAGCCGGTCACACTGTATGAACAGTCAGAGAGCCGGTCACACTGTATGAACAGTCAGAGAGCGGGTCACACTGTATGAACAGTCAATGGATGGCAGTGCTCAGCTTGCTTATCCTGGGCGCCAGTGCAGAGAATGACACCACTCATATTTAAGGAGTGACTTCCTACTTCATATAACCAAACGAAAAACTCTCTCACAGAAACACCAGAAGTTTGTTTCCATGGTGATTATAAGTTCCCATCTAGTTGGCAAGATTAAGTCTCACAATGAACATTAGTTTTCAGCATGCTTAGAGAATCTAGAGGTGGGTTGCCCATCTAGGGTACCATTTAATTTATTCTTGTTTGTGTATTGATGGGGTGGCTTTCAAAAATAGATATGCAGTCAAAAATATGGCATTTTGTTTTATTTCATTTTAATTTTTTCACTATGAATGCAAGAGCAGAATTGGGGACAAAATCTAACAAGGACCCCTGGCTAGTCTAGACATTCACCTCAAGCACGTGGAAGGGAAGGTATTGTTTAGATAGACTAAAGACCTTGGAAGAATAGAGGAGGTGAGCTGACATCAGAGTGCCCAGACTGTGTCCTCTCAGTGTTGCTGTGTTCCTTAATTTAAATAAAGGTGAAGAGGACTTCTACTTTCCTGTTACTGAGGGTAATAAAGTTGATACACATTTGAGAGCAGGTACTCAAGCAGCATGGATCAATGTCAGGATGTTCAGCTGTGAACTGAGCCATCCCGCTTCAATTTCTACAACAATATTCATATATGGAGCAACATTAATTACTATTCAAGTGTTATACATTACAGTTGTGATAATTACTGAAGATTAACTAATACAAAAAGGAATGGTGCTAAACATCACAGGAGGTCACTGAGACTGGTCCTGCAAGCACTGTCAGTGTCATGTTCTGGAAGCTTGTTTCACTTTTAGAAATGTTACCCATGATTTCCCCAATGCATGGTAATTCAATGATGTAAAATAAGGAAAATTTCATAGGAAAGAATACAAAAGTTTTCATGTAGTTATACAATGCGTTTTAGCCTAGTATTATCACCAACATCCAAAGGACTACAGGCTGCAGTTCTGTTATGCCTAGGCAGTGGCCCCTCAAAATACCAACTCCACTATGTTAGAATAAAAGAGCAATAGAATTAAAAATTGTAATGTTTATAAAATAAGCCACTTCTTTCATAAGATTATTCTAATTGCCAGGCATTTCTATTGCATAGCCATGTGTCACTGAAAATATCTTCCTTAGTTAATTGTGTGCCAGTATGTAGAAAAGTCTCATTTCAAGAATTCTCTTCAAAGCTGGGTGTGGTGGCACATGCCTGTAGTCCCAGCACTTGGGAGGCAGGGGCAGGTGGATCTCTGTGAGTTCAAAGCCAGCCTGGTCTACATGGTGAGTTCCAGGCCAGCTGGGGGCTACAGGGAAACCCTGTTTCAAAAAAGACCTAAAAAAAAAAAAAAATCAACATGTTCCCAGACAATAATATCCCTCATAGTCTAGCAATCTTTTTAATTTTTATTTTTGTATACTTTTGATTGGCATCTTTCTAAAGAGATTACCTTCTAAAGTGATTAAATTCTCTTGATGACTACCCTGAATCAGTATCAACAGTACACTTACACATCACTGCTGGCAAGATAGGCTGAATGTGATCAGTAGGAACCACAGCTTTATGAGCAAGTCAAGTATGTCACAAGTGAGCATTAGGATATCCACATAAACAACACAGTCTCACAATCAACAAAATGCTTCCTCCTGCCAATACCAACAATCATCATCACATAGAGGAATCCTGCTTTGCTGATGTTGGTGGTATGTGGTATTGAGTGGCAGACCTCTTGCATGTGAGACCAATGCTCTAAAACCAGGTGACATTTCCAGCACTCTGTGCCTTTCACACCGAGATACGACCAAACTAAGTTGCCCAAGCAGGCCTTGAACTGTCAATATTCCTCCTTCAGCATCTGTAGTAGCAATGATTATAGTCCTGCATGACCAAGCCCAACAGGGACCTTTATAGTAGCCAAGGACTGCTTAGTAAAGTACATCACAGCCTGTAGAACATTTCATTAATGGGAAAATTTGAACATTATCCATTAATTTGCATCAACAGGCTTACATTTATAGGAAATATTCTAATGAAATTTTTCTTAGCCCCAGCTGGCCTGGAACTCGCTATGCAGACCAGGCTGGCCTCAATTTCATAGTGATCTGCCTACCTCTGCCTCCTAAGTGCTGGGATTAAAGGCTTGTGCTACCATGCCTGGTTCTAATAAGATTTTTCAAATGAGTTTATTAGTTGTAAAGTTTTAAAAAATCTTTATATTCCAAACTGCTAGAGTTTCAATGCACTTGCATTCTTAAAACATCAATGTCCATTATGAATCATCATGCAACACTGGGTGGATGTGACAGAAAGTATGTGCACATTTTGCTCATTCAAAGGTTTTTCCTACAAAATGAGGGTACTTTTTTTCATATAAAATGGTCCTGAAGATCTTAATGTGTTTCTTTGATAGGACTTTTCTCTAGTGATTTCTTCAATGATCCCAAACAATAACAACACAGAAGGTTTAGTCATTTTTTAAACTTAAATTTAATTTTTTTTAATGTGTGACTGTATGGCCTGCATGTATGTAAGTGCACCTGTGTCATGAAGTGCCCATGGAGGCCAGAAGAAGGTGTCAGATCCCCTGGAACTGGAGTTATGGATGGGACAGTTGTTAGCTACCAAGTGGCTGCTGGGAATTGAACCCACGTCCTCTGCCAGTGGTTAATGCTCTTAACAACTAAGCCATCTCTCCAGCCAATGTTTAATCATTTTTAACATTCACAAAAATTTTATCCCATGAATTTTTTCCACACATTTGAAAGACACAGGAAAATCTGAAAGTTTTCACACTATTTACATTCATGGGGATTTTCTGCACCTGCCACATTTTTTGATGCCTCTGGAAATATACAATTTTGTTCCAGTAGAAGTTATTTCATACAATGATGGAATTTACATTATTATATTCAGAATATTTCTCATATATGAAATCCTCTGTGTAACAGAAGAGACTTATAACTGTAACATGCTTTTTAAGTAAAGAGGGGTAAATGAAGCCGGGCATGGTGGTATACGCCTTTAACCCCAGCACTGGGGAGGCAGAGGCAGGCAGATCTCTGTGAGTTCAAGGCCAGCCTGGTCTACATAGTGAGTTCCCGGTCAGCTGCTGGGGCTACAGGGAGACCCTGTCTCAAAAAGACCATTAAAAGCGGGGGGCTAAATGAAAGACTACAGTGCTTATATTCATAAAGTTTATCCCCAGTATGAGTTACTTTATGTCTTTGAAGGGAATAGAGAGCTCTGAATGCATCACCACATTGTTTACAGGCATAGGGTTTTCCCACTGTGACATCTTTCATGTGTTTCAAATACAGAGGAATAAATGAAAGACCACACTGCTTACAGGCTTAGGGTTTAGCCCCAATATGAGTCATTTTATGTTTGGGAATGGAATTGCTATGCCTAAAGACTTTACCACATTGTTCACATTTATAGGGGTTTCCCCCACTATGAGATTGTTCATGTGTTTTAAGTAAAGAGGGATAAAGGAAAGACTTACTACACTGTTTACATTCATAAGATTTTTCCCTAGTATGAGTTACTTTATGTCTTTGAAGGGAATTGCTACTTCTGAAGTCTTTCCCACACTGTTCACATTTATAGGGTTTTCCCCCAGTATGAGATCTTTCATGAGTTTTAAGAGCATATGGGTAAAGGAAAGACTTACCACATTATTTACATTCATAAGGCTTTTCCCTAATATGCATTATTTTATGTCTGTGAAGGGAATGGCTACTTCTGAAGGCCTCACCACATTGTTTACAGGCATAGGGCTTTCCCCCAGTATGAGATCTTTCATGCATTTTAAGTAAAGAGGGATAAATGAAAGACTTACCACATTGTTCACAGGTATAGTGGTTTTCCCCATTGTGAGTTATTACTTTATGTTTTTGAAGGGAATAGGGACTTCTGAAGGCTTTACCACATTGTTTACAAGCATAAGGTTTTTCCCCAGAATGAGTTCTTTCATACATTTTAAGTATAGAAGGATGAATGAAAGACTTACCACATTGTTTACATTCATAATGCTTTTCTGCAGTATGAGTTATTTTATGTCTTTGAAGGAAGGCATTACCACATTGTTTACAGGCATAGGGTTTTTCCCCAGTATGAGATATTTCATGGGTTTTAAGTAAATAAGGATAAAGGAAACACCATGTTGTTCACATTCGTAAGGTTTTCCCCACTATAAGTTATTTTATGTCCTAAAAGGGTATTGTGACTTCTGAAGGCATCACCGCATTGTTTACAAGAACAGGGTTTTCCCACAGTATGAATTATCTTATTTTTTTAAGGTAACTACCACTTTTGACAGCTTTACGACATTCATTACAGGAATAAGGTTGTTCCATATCATGAGATCTTTCATGGATTTTAAGAAAACTAGGATAAATAAAGCCTTTAGTGCATATCTGACATTTATAAGGTTTCTATCCAGTATGAGATGCTTCATACACTTTAAGCAAACAGGGATAAATGAAAGACTTAATACATAGTTTATATTCATATAGTTTTGTTCCACTATGGATTCTTTCATGCACATGAAGATCACTGAGACCTCTGAAGGCTTTCCTAGATTCTTTACATGCGTAGGGCTCTTCCCCAGTATGAGTTCTTTTATGCATTGAACTGAAGATGGATAAATGATGGACTTATCACATTGTTTATATTTTATATTCCTGACAGGTGTCTACTCTGTGAGTTCTTCCATGTGTACAAAATGGACAAGGACAAACAGAGGGTTTTCCACACTCCTTGTGTTCATAGCATTTTTCTCCACAGTTTTCTGATGTACTTCAAATGAACTCTGAAAAGATAAGGATTTTAGATACGCCTCATATTTGAAATGTCTATATGCATTCTACACATCCATAATTTATAGCATTTCAACATTGTTTACCTTTATACTACATTTTTCTCTTTTTTTTAAAATGTGAAACAAGTGTATTTCCTCCATGTATATAAGTGCATTCATGTTATGCAATGCCTGCAGAGGTCAGAAGAGGATGTCAGATCCCCTGGAACTGGAGTTACGGGTGGTTGTTAGCCACCATGTGGGTGCTGAGAACCAAACCTGGGTCCTCTGCAAAAGCCAGTGTTCTTAACTGCTAAGTCATCTCTCCAGTCCCTTTCCATTGTTCTTATGCCAACATGCTTTTACTTAAGTAGGAGACAGGGTCTCATTACATAGCCCAGGCTGGCCTGGAACTTGGTATTTAGATCAGGCTAGCCTAAAATTCACAAAGATTCCCCCAACCTCTGCCTTCAGAGTCCTGGGAATAAAGGGGTGTACAACCATGCCCAGTCCCAGAAGAGATTTTTGTCATCCTATTAGGATGTTGTTTCTGGGTGATGATTTCTCCACACTGACCACCTTCTGTACTTTCATACAATCTTTCCACCATAAACCTTCTATGAAAACAATGACAAGCACATTAGTTGCTGTGCTGGTTAGTTTTGGTCAACTTGACACAAACTAGAGTCATCTGGAAAGAGGGAAGATCGATTTAGGAATTTCCTCACAGTCTGGCCAGTGGGACATTTTCTTGATTGCTAATTGATGTAGGTGGGCCCAGACCACTGTGGATGTTGCCAACCCTGGGCAGGTGGGCCTAGGATATATAAGAAAACTAGCTGAGGAAGCTGGAGAGATGGCTCAGTGGTTAAGAACACTGACTGTTCTTGCAGAGGACCTGGGTTCGAATCCCAGCACCCACATGACAGCTAACAGCTGTCTGTAACTTCAGTTCCAGGGGATCTGACGACCTCTTCTGTCCTCCACAGGCGTTGCATGACACAGGTGCAATTACATATATGCAGGCAATACATGTACACACATAAAATAAAAATAAATAAATAAAAAGAAAACTGAGCAATCCTGAGGAAGCAAGCCAGTAAGCAGCATCCCTGCAGGGCCTCTGCCTCAGTTCCTACCTCCAGGGTTAGGCCTTGGCTTCTCTCAAGGCCCACTGCAGCTTGTAACTGAGACTAGGCCTTTTCCTGACCAAGTTACCTAATTTAGCCATGATGTTTATCAAAGAAATAGATATCAAACTATAGCAGTCTTTAGTTACTCCTTTTTACTAAACCAAATAAATAGGTGATTCTGTGATATGGCTCCTGCAGAGCTACTGTGAAAAGTACATTTACATGTAGTATTTCATACAACTGTTTCCAAGCGAAATGTTTTCCATACACCAAATCACTTTCCTAAACTCAATGACATGTGATATAAATGATCAAATTTGTCAAATGATGAACGAATTTAAAGTTGTGCTATTTACTTCCTCTGCTCGATCTTCAATTCATAACACACTAAGACTTCCTCATGGTGATCTACTTCCACTGTGCATGCAAATTACCTTAGAGCTCTCCGAGGAGTCTTGCATTGGTTTTCAATGTTTCGGTCTCCCCACTTGTTTCCTAAAATATAGGCCCAGAAAAATTACTATAAGTTACAAGAATTTACATAAAACATATTTTCTAGCTTCAGTCAGTGTACAGTGTGGGAATCTTTACTTCTTTTTATAACAAATTCTACCCAGCCCTCTGGAACCATTAGTCAAGATAGTCTTCCTTCAGTGGCTTTTGGTCATGGAATTTTATTACAGCAACAGAAAAGCAACTGATACACTGGTCATAAGATGGCCTATCACCTACAGTACAGACAACACTGACATCAGAAGTCATGAGGCAGACTGTCCTTAGAAATTTTTGCTCATAAAATTTAAGCTTTCCTGGCATGAGGGAATGTAAGATTCTGGGACAGACTCCAATAATATAAATGAGAAGAGTAATGTACTCTGCTACGTGACTTTTGGAAGCATTATGGCATTGTCTGAACAACTATGATCTTTCTGAAAGTCTTGGTCTCTTTGCTTCAATCACAGAGACATCTAGAACATCAGCCCTCCCAAGCACTGTAGACAATAAGTCTAATTACCTTTGCTGACAGACACTATTTCACATAAGTCAAAACTTATTAAATGGAGCCAGGCATGGTGGCACACACCTTTAATCTCAGCACTACATAGCGAGTTCCAGGTCAGCTAGGGCTACAGGGAGACTGTCTCAAAAACACCAAAAAGAAAAAAAAAAAAACAAAAACCAAACCAAAGCAAAACAAAACAAAAACCCAACTTATTAAATGAGGTTTGAGCACACCCTGTGTGATCACAACCAGAAGTATTTAGAAGCCTCAATGCAGATGAAGCCAGGCCATTTTCTTTTTTTTTTTTTTTTTTTTTTTTTTTTTTTTTTTCTTTTTGAGACGGGTTCCCTGTAGCCCCAGCTGACCTTGAACTATGTAGACCAGGCTGGCTTTGAACTCACAGAGATCTGTGGGACTACAGGCGTGCCCCACCACACCCGACTCATTTTCATTAAAAAAAAATATATATTATTGCCAGGCGTGGTGGCAAAAAAATATATTATTGCCAGGCGTGGGGTTTACGCTCCACGGCAGAGCCTGTTAGGGATCCACGCTACAGAAGCACATCCCTATTCCAGTCCTTTCCCAAGCAGGACCTGGGGGCGCACGCCGAAAGTGACGTATGTAACCGACACTGGCGACTCATTTTCATTAAAAAAAAATATATATTATTGCCAGGCGTGGTGGCAAAAAAATATATTATTGCCAGGCGTGGGGTTTACGCTCCACGGCAGAGCCTGTTAGGGATCCACGCTACAGAAGCACATCCCTATTCCAGTCCTTTCCCAAGCAGGACCTGGGGGCGCACGCCGAAAGTGACGTATGTAACCGACACTGGCGGCAGCGCGGGGCCCGGGGGCAGAGCCGCCCCCTTATGCCACAGAGGCAGGGCTCCAGGCCATTTCAGGACAGGACAGCCTTGCCCAGCCACCGCCCTCATCCCGAGCTCTCTGGGAGGACCCAGCACAGCCCGCTCCGGCGGCTCCAGCGGCCGCAGCTCGGGTCTGGACACAGCCGGCCCACGCTCACCACGGCCGGCTGGCGGCGCTGTCAAGGCTCCAGGCAGTGAAGCCGGCACTGAACAGAAGGTACCAGGCGGGGTCTCCATCAGAAACTGTAGCGGCCAAGCGGGAAATGCCGCCCCCTTACTAGGTGCTATTCCTGATTGGACAGTCCGCCCGGAGCCCCTGATTGGGAAGGGAGGTCGGGTGTCAGGACCCGCGTCCTTAGGAACTGAATATAGCTGAAATGATTTGTTTAGCACTACCAGGCCTGGAGATTTGCATTTGTGAAACTTGTTTTTGGCTCCAACTCAGTAGGTTCCTGTTCTGGTTCCACTCAGTAGGCATCGCCCGTTTTTCCTCTAGAGCAGAGTCCCTAGTGTGCAACCATGACACACAAGGTCTAAAGGAGTGATCCCCTCACCCTCCCGCTTGGAAGCATACCCAGCCCACACCAAGTCTAAATCGATTAGGTGATGATGTCCAGGAATCAGGAATTTTAGTAAGACACACCAATGATTGCTCACATCTTGTCTCTCAGCCTTCACAATTTCACCAAAAATATTAATAATAATAAATAAGAATAATAACACCAAGCTCTGAGTCACGGCTCAAGCAGTAATTAAAGCATTAAGGAAGTACAGGAGGAAGACCAGGAGTTCAAGACCATTCTGGGCTACATGAAACTTCCACCTTTACAACAGCAAACGACTCTAAAATGTGTCGAAAGAACACAAAGATTATTACTGTATGGGAAAAGTGAAGCTTAGAAAGAAATAAAGAAAAGACATATACATCAAATAGGTGTTTGGAGAAAAAAGGACACTGATACCAAATGTTGGGTTTTGAAATGATTAACATAATTGGACCAGCCTTAGCTACACTGAATTTTAAAAAGAAAAGGGATTCAAATAGCTAATTTCAGAAATGAAAGTAGAGTTGTTGTGGTGCTCCAGCACTGTAATTCCAGCTCTGGGAAGGCTGAGGCACAGGGTCCCAAGGTCAAGTTCTAGCAGGACTACAGGTCAACCTGGAGACTGAAATAAAAACATTAAAAATGGCTCAGTGGTAGAATGCTTGCCTAACATGAGAGAGGCCCAGGGTTCAGATGCAAGGACCCCATACCCCCCAAATGAATATAGATATTATTACCAATATCACAGAAAGAGAATGAATTAGAAGAATGGCATATTGGATAACCTACATGAATGAAAAAGAATTATAGAAATATATTACTGTTATTTTTCAGTGTATACAAATTATGTACAAACATTTGTAAACAATGGCACTAAGCTGAGTTTCTTAGTTTTGTGCTTGGATTTTTTTTTTGTTGTTGTTGTTATCATGTGTGGATTGTTCCCACTTTTTTTCTTTTTCTGCTGGAGATGGCAACTAGAGCCTGCACATACTTCACAAGGGTTTCACCTGAGCTACACGCCTGCCTTGCTAGACATTGATTTAAGAAGCCAAATTTCACAAACTGGGGCTGGGGATACAGCTCAGTTGGTAGCGGGCTTGCCTCTGTTTCATGAGGCTCTGAGTTCAATCTCCAACATCACATAAACTGGGTTTGGTGGAACATGCCTATAATCCCAGCACTGTCTCAAAAAGGAAAAAAAAAAAAAAGAAAAGAAAGAACATAGTACTGTAAACTTGTCCAAAACCTGTGGTTGGGAGGTCACAGGCACTAGGGGAAACATGTTCTCCAACTGCTTTCTAAGTATTTATGTTTATCACATGGATTAGTGTTGTTCTCAGCCTTGATCAAAGATACTTCAGTTTTCAGTGGCTGGTGGTGAATGTAGAGACTCAAACTAGTCAGAATGCTGAGAATAAGTGATGACCCTAAATGGGACATCTATGTCACCCACACCCTCCAAAGCTCAGGGAACATCACAGAAGAGGGGGCAGAAAGAATGCAAGAGCAGGAGGATGGGGAGGAGGCTGTGAAATGCTGTCTTCTGGACATGGCATGGTCACTGCACTCATGAACTTGAGTAGCTATGGCTACCTGCACTAGATCAAGCCAGTCAACAGTCCATCATGGCTTGGGGAGCTGCACAAGAGGCTCCACCCTTCCCTAAGGAGCTATTGGCAATTAATGGTGGGTGGGAGGGGGGTATCTACGTGTAGCCACTAAGAAAATACACATGTTCCAGTAAATAAGCCCCGACCAATACTCATGCAAACAACCCTGATTAAGCTCTGTGGGCCATGGACCAGTGAGATGGCTCACCAGGTAAACGGGCTTTCCCCAAGCCTTAGTGGCTCTAGGTTAATGACACCCCTCCCTGAACCATCATTTAATTTTCCAGGATTCACATGATGGAAGAAGAGAACTGACTCCCACAAGTTGTCCTCTGACTTCCACATGTGCTCTATGTCACATGCACACACAAAATAAAGAAATAATATGTAATATAAAACAGGTGCTGCTGGAGAGCTCCTAAGGAGAGGTACAATTGTACCTCTCACCAATCATCAATGAAGCTTTTTTGCAACAGATGGAGACTATGAGGAAGTTCCCCAACTGGTCAAAAGTAAAGAATAAATGTCTGAGAGATGCCCAGCCCCAAGTGACACAGCTACAATGCACCCTCTAAACCTCAGGCTCAGGAAATATAGTGAGTGGAATGAGAGGCAGAAAGAATATTAATGTCTCTCTCAACACTTACCAGAGAAGCTTTCTCACAGGGCAGATGGTGATTAACCCAGATAGTCACACAACTGGCCAAAATCCAGTGAATAACAGATTGCAGATTGCTTAGCCCTGAATAGGACACCAATCTCAAACCTCTGCCAATGAAGGCTCAGGGATCATTGTGGAAGAGGGAGTTGAAAGATTTTAAGAGCTAGAGGAGACAGATGACCACAAGGAAACAGTTTTCCGGACAGGTGAGAAATTTACTCATTTGAACTCACAGCAATGGTCACAGCATGCACAAGTCCCATGTAAATGCAAGCTTGACAAAATCCCAGCACAGAAGTGGAGAAATGGGGAAGAAGCCCCAACCCCACCCGAGGAACCCCCAAAAAGCTACTGGGAGAGGAAGAGTCTGTTTTCTTTAAGGGTGTGACTCTTAGTAGGTTAACCAGGATCCAGTGGATGGACCCACGCTGAAGGGCATTTGGGGACATAAATTTGACTGGATTGGCCTATTAATATATATGACACAGTACAGGAAATAGGGTGGGGGCACAATAAGAAGGTTGCAGATAGGGGAGGGAGTCTAATATAGTATGAAATTTCCAAGAATTCAATAAAACCTTTAATTTTTTTTAAGTTTTATGTGTGTGAGTGTTGTGCCTACATGTATGTAAATGTACCCCTGTTGTGCAATGCCTTCAAAGGACAGAAGGGGGATGCTTGTTAACCAACCATATGGGCACTGGGATTTGAACCCAGGTCCTCGTCAAGAACAGCCAGTGTTCTTAACCACTGAGTTATCTCTCCAGGCCCCAATATTTTTAAAAAGAATTAAATGTGGCCTCTCAGTGAAAAAAATAAAATAAGTAAATTCAGTAGATCACACACAAAAGGACAGGAAAGGAGGGGGGCTTGGAAGGACTTGGGAAGAAAGGGTTTGGCAGGATGGGGAGGGATGAAAGAGGGAACTAGAGGATGAAAATGAACAAAATATATGTATGTGAAATTATCAAAGAATATAAAAATTACAAAAGCACAGCACAATGGCAGGTAGTTTTAATCCTGGCACTAGGGAAGCAGAGGCAGGCAGCTCTCTGGGAGTTCCAGGACTGACAGGGCTATAAGACAAGACCCTGTTGTGTCTCAAACAAAATCTTTTTTTTTTCTTTTTTGGTCTTTTTGAGACAGGGTCTCCCTGTAGCCCCAGCTGTCCTGGAACTCACTATGTAGACCAGGCTGGCCTTGAACTCACAGTGATCCGCCTGCCTCTGCCTTCCAAGTGCTGGGATTAAAGGCCTACGCCACCATGCCCAGCAACAATATATTTTTTAAAGGAAATATAAAATAAAAATTAATAAACTTTTTAAAACTATGGTAGGGTTAGGGTTCCTCTGAAACACAACTAGAAGAATTGAATAGCAGGTAAACTCTAGCTCTAGCACAGGGATGGCAGCTCACAACCAACTACATTACTTTGATTAAAAGCACTGTGTTGCTTTGACAATCTCAAGCTAGAGACTGATCTGTCCACATTAGTACTTCCTTGATTTTGTTGTTGTTTTGAGTGTTTTGTTTTGTTTTGTGAGACAGTATCTCCCTGTAGCCAAAGGTGGGCTAGAACTTGATATGTAGACCAGGCTGGCTTCTATCTTACAGAGATCCATCTGCCTTTACTGGGATTAAAGGCATGCTCCAGCACCCCTGGCAATAACTTGATTTTTTTTTTTTTTTTGGTCTTTTTGAGACAGGGTTTCCCTGTAGCCCCAGCTGACCTGGAACTCGCTATGTAGACCAGGCTGGCCTCAAACTCACAGAGATCTGCCTGCCTCTGCCTCCCAAGTGCTGGGATTAAAGGCGTGATTTTTAATGATCAACTGACACCATGTGTCCTAGTTTGTTTCTTCATTGCTGTGACAAAATATTCTGACCACTACCAACTTGGGGAGGAAAGGATTTAGCTTACATCTCCCAGGTCACAGTTCATCAGGGAGACCAAGGTAGAAACTTAGGGCAGGAACCTGGAGGCAGGAGCTGGAGCACACACCATGGAGGATCACTGCTTACTGGCTTGCTCCCCTGGCCCCTGCTCAGCCTGCTTTCTTATGCAACACAGGCCTACCTGCCCAAGGGTGGCACCACCCACAGTGGGCTTAGCCCTCCCACATCACTCAACAATCAAGAAGGTGCCCCAGGCACATAGCCACAGGCTAGTCCAATGAAGGCAATTCCCCAATTGACGCTCTCTCAACCCAGGTGTGTCAAGTTGACACTAAAGCTACCCAGCACAACTGACCCCTTGTCAACTTGACATACAAACACATCACTATTAAACCACAACCTTTCCAATTCTTGTCCCCAAGATATGATGTTAATATTAATATCACAACATAAGATGGTATAACCTTAAAAACCCCACAGTCCTTAAAAAAAATCCAAACACTTAAAAGTCCATAGTCGC